CACTTTAACGTCACAGTCCTCTGAAGAACGAACCCAAACCTTGTTGTTTTTTATTAATTGCATTACCAAATGGGTATCAAATAAACAGTAAGCATTGGTAACACAACTTCCAAAGTTACAGTAAAATAAAAAGGACCTTGACTCGGACAATACACAATTCAACATGTTCAACAGAAGAGAATCAGTTATATTGTTTGTACACATGGTACTTTACATATATATATATCTGTTTGTTTAAGGTGTCCAGGTGATGCAGACAGGCTGGACCAGAGACAGAACTGGACTCCTCACAGCAGTGAACTTCAGCACAGGTACAAAGACTATTTTCTTACTGTACAAAGAATCAAGAAATATATTGGTTTAAATAAATGAAGTATTTACTTTAATACACTGATATACATTCCATTAAACAATACTAAATACTTGATCACCTACACATCAGTTAAGTTGAGGGTTTTTTCCATGCAAAAGGTTACATTTAGATGTTAACAAGCAATATTATTGTGTGAAAATGAGACCTTGTGTCTCAATGAGATCTACACCTGTATAAATAAAGGCTAAAGAAATATGATTTTGTCAGCTTTCTAATTTAATGTATTGAAGGCAAAGATATTTAACACATAGTGAGAACTGCTACTATTTATCTCTCAATATTGTCTGTAAAAAACGTGGTAAAAGTTATTCTTTCAGTGAGACAACAGAGCAAGCTTTTACAGTTGCACTACGTTTTGATAACAGTTAAATATTATTTTGATAATAACATGTATTTCAATGTTGATGAACTTCATACTGTTCATTCATAATCTGATTGTCTTTGTAGCTCACTGTTGAAATAAAAAATAAACATTACAATTACAAAATAATTATATCAACAGCCCCTAAACACACAAACACACCGCTTTCATAAATAACACACTTGTTCTGCAATAATATGTTTTATGTTTCCTGTCATTTTTGTTAGGAAAGGACATGCCTGAAAAACACAACATTTTCTCCTTCTCTGAGGGTCAAGAAGAACATCCAAGAGGAACATTAAAAGCTGATGTTATGAGATGTTAAGACCAGTACAGGACATTCACTAAGAAACTACTTCTATTGTGAAAACACAGTCAGCTGATCGAATGCACCTATTTCCACATCTACACTCCATCAGCTGATTATTTATATTTGCCTCACTTTATGAGCTTCACATCACTTGTGCCTTGTACCGCAGAGTTTGCAACGTCACAAATAAATGGGGCCAATCTTCAGTCAGATGTGAATGTGTAATCTAACATTTTCAGTAAGAATAATGGACGAAAGGAGTGCAAATACAAATACAATTGATTGAAATGTGAACCAAAAGTTAATCAAACAAGTTTTAAATAAAAAGCACATATGGACAGAAGGTGTAAAACCTATTAAATGTATAAGTAAACACATTTAGTCAAATAAAGTGACAGACTAGGCCTGTGCAGGTGGTATCAGCTTTGCCCAGCATGGGCTCCTCCATCAGGCCTGGTCCTCCTCGCTGAGGAAAGACCCTCAGTCCTCACCAAACCAACAGACAGGACGTCCATCACACAGAGGTTTCTCCCTGAAGTCTCTGCAGCTCTCAGGACACCAGGCTGTCTCAATCCGTCCACACTGAATATGAGAGGGGGAAAATGAAAATAATAAATGCTTTAGACAATAAGAAATATAAAGTTGACTGTTGAGTTGCTCAGTTTTTTTAGATTGTCAATACTATTACTGTATAATTAATATATCAGGTTAAGAGGCACATTCAAATAAAGATTGGTCTTTAAATACATGTTGTCTTTTGAATTGTTTGTCTAAAGTCAGGGATCTAGAACTGGTACTTAGTTTTAATGATACAGTCTGGTTATTATGCTGTTTGGAGGAGGCCTCACAGGTAAGAGCACTAACTAGCTACCATCACATGTACCTTAGCTTGACTTAAATGTATTAAACGTATAATTAAGTGATATCAAAATATAAATAACTAATGTCATGCAAACATATTAATATTTGCTTGATTCCAGTGTTGAATTTAGCACAATTGCATACAAACGTTAAGAGATTTTAAGATTCTGAAGTATTATGCTAAAAACTCAATAACTTAGATTATTATTTATAGTTTTGCTGAATAGTTTCATGTCCGCTTACCTTAGAAACGTAAAATGCGACGGCAGTGTGCAGATGGGGAGCATGTTAGCTTAGCTTGGTAGCTTCAGCTAGATCTGGAACTTCCAGCTCGGTGGCAGGAGGTCCCGCCTCGGCTCCGCCTCGGCTCCGCCTCTTTGCCCTTATTTGGAGCAGGCTGGAACCAAGCCCCCAGGAAGTGCGCCGGACTCAGATGAAAATATTCGTGCTGGCCAAACGGCGGTACTACACTTCCGTTTGGTTGCCAGGCCCGGAAACACTTTTTCCCATTGACTTACATGGGGAAAGAGTGGTCTGTAACTCGTTGGATAATTTTTTTTAAAACTAAATAAACTACCCAGTATGAACACTTGTATAGCCCTTATTAAAAACATTTGTTCCTCAAGTTGTAAAAATGTGCTAATAACGTTATTCTGAGAGTTATTTCCCTCTGCATTATGAACTCGCATCTAACCCACGGGACCGCGCCGCCCGGCACGTTCATGTTACGTGTCCCGACCAATCAGAGCACACTGTGCTCACAGGGAGGGTGGGGGCTGAAGCTATTGGAGCTACAACGAGCCGTTAAAGGCAGAGAGTGAAATTCAGTGAATACACGTAGTTTACAGAGATGCTGTATGAGAAACCAATGTGAGTTGCGTTTATCTTTACCCATGGATGCACAATAAGAACGGATCCATATCGTCTTACTGCCATCCCACGGAGCTGTAATAATGGATATATTGCACATGTTTGCTGTAATTCATTATCATACGCTGTATGATTTAATCTTGTACCGTAAATGTTGTATTAAATAAAGTTAATATTACCGACATTATTAACGTCCCTGTAGCTTCGTATTGCACTAAGAAGCTTATTGCACTGTATATAAATATATATATATATACAGTGCAATAATTATTTTATGCTAAATAAAGCTCTGTTGGATATCACTAGATCCTGTTACAGCGTAATATAAGTACATAACGATTGATGTGTACATTAGCATCATTACTAGCTAGCCGCTAGCTGCTAACTGCCGCCTCGTTCATATCAAATCCATGATAACAACGATCCATTACCATGCTGTCATGAACGCGCGGTGCTGTTACGTGTACGCAATTTGACGTGCTTGATGTGAACGAGCATTTTGGTTAAAGTTGCGCATGCTCTATGAGCGCACATACGGGTACTTCTCAGGCATGCTGGGTAATCTGTGACGTTTCACTCTCTCAAAAGGTGGGCCATTTTATCATCATGCACTAATGAGCAGCTCTCAGGAATGAATGAGGCCCCGCCTCCCACGCTGTATCCAGTTCTTATTATACATCCATGGCTGGAACAGGCGGGAGTTGAACTCTGACGTCACTGTCGAGCCGTTAGTGGCCGACTCCGCCTACTAAGGGCTTCTCTGCAACTCTGCAGAATCCTATGGGTGACGTCACGGACCCTACGTCCATTTATATATACAGTCTATGGTCTGGACCAGAGCCCTTAGTATCTATTCTCTAGGGCTCTGGTCTGGACCAAGACGCCGACCTATACGGACCCGGACCTAAATTAAATAAACTAAGGGATTTTCAATTTTGACAGGGCGCTTCTATTTTAACCACCGCAGACTAATTGACAAGTTAGCGGCAGTCGGCAGACAGGGAGATATACAGTGTACTGTACACAGACGAAGAGACGAGTAAGGGGCCATACACTTGAGCCGTGTCCGGCACATACACAGACAACACACACAGAGAGGAGGAAAGCAGAGACAGAATCACCCTGCTACTTTTTCAATTCAAATGGTCTCTGAGAAAGTGGGAGAGAAAAAAAATAATCTTTTTTTTGTATCGTTCCAGGCTAACCAATGAGCTCCTGCAAGAAACTGTCAAACTGTTCAATTGTTAAGAAGTGTTGAGACTGATTTATTCTAAAGTTGGTTGAGACTGTGAAGTAAAGATATGAAACAAAGAAAAAGGAAACTCAAGCTGCTGCTGCTGCTGCTGCTACACTTTTTTATTTAATTTTTCTAAAATCAAGCATTTTATTTTGAGATGCACAATTTTTCAAAAGCTTTCTCATTTTTTTCTATTTTAAATGCAGCCTAAGAAAAACATCAAACATATATACAGCATTATATATTTGTAAAGTTCAATGTTAAGTCACAATAAATATTGTCCAAATGTTTTTTAATTGTACTTTTTTTAATATGATTTTTCAGTCACTTGTTGATTACATGCAGACGTTGATACAGCATCTTGGCTACTTCAATATATATCACACTAATTCATAATGCAAGTTAGACATTATGATGTTCCGGACCTTTCCTCTGACCAGACCTTGTTGAATTGTAGTTGAATACCCCTGGTTTAGGCCAATCAAAGGGATTGCAATGACAACTAAGAGGATGTGGATCAGTTTTGGGAATTGACCTTACCATTTTCTACATTACACATTACCCTTGTGCACAGAGCGATTTCCATTTTTCTAAAAGTTTTGGTGTGGAAAAGCTTGCTTCAGGACCCTGATCCCCCCGCATGAAACCTCTTTGAGGAAGTCGACTATGAGCTGAGCAAACATGGCAATGCGAGCAAATCTCAGCTGCCAGGTTCCAAAATCGTTTGGAAAGCCTTCCCAGGAGAGCGAAGTTTCAATCCAACAAAAGAGTTTATTTTGCAAATTAAATCCTGAATATTTTAATATATTTCACTGTTGATTTGAATGTCAGCACAATTATAAGATAATTCCCAAAGTTGTTTTAGTTGCTCTTGTTTTGTTTGTATATTCAAGCTTATCCATACAACTTGTTGACCTTTTTTCAACCTTGGTATTTTTGGTGTAGAAAGAAGACCTGTATTTAAACATATTGTAATTTGCTCTCTCACCTTACATCTGCTAGCGTTGCCCTGACAATCGCCCACACTGCCACAAAAACAGCTGGAACACCTGAAATGAATGGACAAACAACAGACAATGAGCTGTGCTGTCTGGATGATGTCACATACTTTGTTTACCTGAATCGTTGACACATTACAAATGTCCTGTCATTATCATGCATGATATTGAGGAAGAAGAGTAAAGGTTAGCATAGTTGTATACATTTTTTTAGAGAGGCCCTATTATGCTTTTTGGGGTTTTCCCTTTCCTGCAGTGTGTTATATTGGTTTTAGTGCATGCAAATGGTATACAAAGGCTTAAACCCCAAAGTTCTCCCACACACTCCCCAAAATGATAAGAATTAAGATTGGCACTGACTTTTTTTATGGTATGCAAGGAAAAGACGGTAATGATACGATGTCTTGCTAATATTGTTTTGACGAGTCTTCGAAATGACTCATGTTAAAATAAACACTTGAAGTAAATGGGCTGGCTTCGATTTGATCGTGGTGACATTACCGACACATTTCTTTGTCCTTGTTTTGCCATTGTCAATCATCCTTGACGAAGCTTTAATACAACCATCAGTATTGTAATACATCAGTTTAAAGTCTCCAGCAAACTATTTGTGTTTATCATTGCTTTTATGCTCAAAATATATCATTCAAGTCATATTTACTAATGGTTGATTGTGATGGGAAAAAATGTAGCTTTGCCCTGGACATGGTATACTCACGCAAGTGGGAGAGGAGCTGTAATGCTTTATGTGTACTTCTCCATAACAGCAAAAAGCAGCTCATGTACTGTATCTTGACACATTGCGGCATTTCTGATGTGTTCTTATGAAGTAAAATGGCACAGAATGGCACGGACACTATGCATTGCAATTAACTCTAGAAGAAAGTTGTTATGCTTTGGACAAAGACATCCAAACTTTGAGAAGTCCTCATAAAGTTAACACTAAACTTAACAACAATACTAGCCATTGTTCTGAATTGTGTGGGTTGTTATTGATTTCGCTTTCACTGCACAGTTATTATTATCTTTTTTTCATTTATACAATTCTTTAAAAATAAACACCAAAGATTTAGTGTCATGTGACACTAAATCACCACCTGGTTGTCCACCAGGTGGTGCTGCTGTAACCTGTGTGCTTGTTGTAATCAGCAGTGATTGTAATCGCTTCACTGGCTTCCGGTAACTGCTAGAATCCACTTCAAGACACTGGTACTTGCTTACCATGCTGCGAATGGATCTGGCCCTTCGTACATCCAGGACATGGTTAAACCGTACACCCCAGCGCGTGCACTACGCTCTGCATCAGCCAAACGACTCGCTGCGCCCTCGCTGCGCCCTCGCTGCGCCCTCGCTGCGAGGGGGACCCAAGTTCCCAATGGCGAAAACACGTGGGTTTGCTGTCCTGGCTCCAGGATGGTGGAATGAGCTCCCCATTGACATCAGGACGGCAGATAGCTTGCACATCTTCCGGCGCAAACTGAAAACTCATCTCTTTCGACTCCACTTCGAGCGATAGAACTATTAACGAAGCACTTTTATACTAATAAAGGACTGGCTTTTCTAAAGCCAGTTGAGTAGCACTTGAAATGTTTTTGCTCTATGAAAGCTGATGTACTTATATGATTCTGTTTTCTTCAAGTTGTATTTTGTTGGACGAACGCACTTATTGTAAGTCGCTTTGGATAAAAGCGTCAGCTAAATGCAATGTAATGTAATGTAATGATGGGACCCACCTGTGGGACTTGATTCCAGGATATAAGAGGGCTGCAGAACAGGCTCTCGCTCTCTCTCTCAGCTGCCCTGCTCGGTGCAGCAGGACACCGCACCGCACCGCTCCTTTGTTCTGTTTTATTGTTGGTTGTAACCACTGTGTTGGATAAAATAAATTGTCCTTATGTTACAAGCAGAGCCAGCTTGTAACATATGGGGGCTCGTCCGATCCAAGAACCAGGTGATAGTTGTTTACTTGATTTGTTTGCCTTGATTGTGTATACAGTTTGTTCCTGGTGTGGGGCATTAAGGAGTAGCTTTGGAATTACCTTTCCTGATAGGCATAAGCAACATCTCCTTCAGGGGAGCTTGTTGGTTTGTTGTTTTTGTTTGCTATTTTGTGCATAAACATGATTCAACATTTTTTTGTCATGGGTACACGTCCGTGGCTGTCTTGGTGAGTAACAGCTTCGCTGGGGCTTTACCGGGTCATTGGGTAAGTGTTTAAAACACCTGTCATGGCATGCATGAAGACTAGGGTGAGACAAGATAGCTAGTATTGGGTAGGCAGTTAGCTAGGGGAGAGGTATTCCAGAGTGAAACAAAAATATATATATATATTTGTAGGTGTCTGTGCACCGGGTTCAAGGGAGTTTGCATAATCATGGCTACATTGATTTAGTGAAGTGTCCCAGTGTGGAACTACTGGAAACATTTACTAAAGAACAACTGTTAAAATTTGCAGAGCATTTTGAGGTAGACGTTCCAAAGCAGGTTCGTAAAGACACCATAGTGACTATGTTACAGGCCCAGTTGGTACTGCAAGAAGTTCTGCCAGCAGTGGCTGTCGATGATGGCTCCGAGGAGGAGTTGGCGAAGGTAACTATAAATCCAGAGCGGCAGAGAAGTGCAGGTTTTGCTTTGTTTGACTTTGGTGAAATGACATTTGAACAGAGAAAGGAAATAATGCTGCTGCAGTACCAACAAGACAGTGAACGTGAGGAACGAGCAAGTGCTCGTGAGGACCGGGCTAGAGCTCGTGAACAGGAAACTGAGATGGAGCGTTTAAGGTTAACTACAGTGGTGCGGGAAGCTGAATTGCAACAAGAGCGTTACAAGTTGGACCTCATCCAAGAGGGTAAGCTTTCTTCTGGGGTGTCAACTGCTACTTTTGATGTAGCTTATAACTTGAGATGGTTACCGAAATTCGAGGAGAAGACTGTAGATTCTTTTTTTGGACTTTTTGAGCGACTTAGCCAAAGACGACAGTGGTCTGATTCAGAGAAAACATTGCTGTTACAGTGTGTGTTAACTGGTAGGGCTCAAGAAGCATTTTCTGCATTAAGTATGGCTGACAGTGAAGATTACTTAAGGGTAAAGACTGCAGTGCTAAAAGCTTATGAGTTGGTGCCTGAGGCCTACCGTCAGCAGTTCAGGAAGCTAAGGAAGTCAGAAGGACAGACCTATGTGGAACTTGTTCGGGAGCTGACGATGAAATTTAATCGGTGGGTCACGGCTTCCGAAGTAGTACATCTTAATGATTTGAGGGAATTGTTCCTTCTTGAACAATTCAAAGATATCCTTCCAGAACGCGTTGCTACGTACCTGAATGAGAATAAGGTTAAAAATGTAACAGACGCCGGGGTGTTAGCTGATGAATATACGTTAACACACAAGATTCATTCAGGGGAGAGATTTGACTGGGGGAGCAGAAATAACTGGTCTGGTGACCCCAGATGTAAAGTAGATCTAAGTACTTGCTACTTTTGTTTGGGTAAAGGACACCAGAAAAAGGAATGCCCAGTACTTGCAAAAACCAAGGGACTCCAAAATGTTCAGTTTCCCAGGCCTGTTGCCCTTGCAGCTTTTCCCCACAAGGTTGCTAGGGATGAGGCTATAACTGGCAGTTCCTTTAAACATGGCAGGGTCTCTATCCTTGGTGGAAACCGAGGTCTTATCAGGTCATATCCTACCCTATTTTCAGATGTTCCTTCACGGACGCATCTGGTGGAACATGACATTGACGTGGGAGAGGTTGCGCCCATAAAACAGCGGTTTTACAGAAACTCCCCTGAAAAACGTGAGCAGTTAGAGTCAGAGGTTGCATACATGCTAGATAATGGCATTGCAGAACCCTCACATTATAGCTGGGCCTCACCATGTTTGTTAGTGGCTAAACCTGACAGACCTTTTAGACCCTGTACTGATTTTCACAAGGTAAATTCTGTAATCAAGCCAGATAGTTTTCCCCTACCTCGGATGGAGGATTGTGTGGATCAAGTTGGCGCAGCTAAGTTTGTAAGCAAGTTTGATCTTCTTAAAGGTTACTGGCAAGTACCACTGACCCCACGGGCCAGGGAAATTGCATCCTTTATAACGCCTACAGGGTTATACTCTTACACGGTCATGCCATTTGGTCTTAGAAACGCACCGGCTACATTCCAGCGCTTGATGAACCGCGTGGTTTCTGGGTTACAAGGGTGTGCCGTGTATTTAGATGATTTTGTGGTGTACAGTGACACATGGTCAGGGCACCTACAGCGCATACAGGCCCTGTTTGATCGCCTGGACTGGGCAAATCTCACTGTGAACTTGGCCAAGTGTGAGTTTGCTAAGGCCACAGTGACATATCTGGGTAAGGTCGTTGGTCAGGGTACTGTGCGTCCAGTAAGGGCAAAAGTGGAAGCCGTTGAGAGGTTTCCTCCGCCTACCACCAGGAAGGAGTTGGCTCGTTTTCTTGGCATGGTAGGTTATTACCCTTGTTTTTGTGAAAACTTCTCCTCGGTTGTTGCTCCCTTGACTGACCTGATAAGTCCAAGGATGAAGTTTAACTGGTCAGTTCAGTGTCAGAAGGCTTTCAAGGACGTTAAGGATCTTCTAATTGGCGCTCCAGTGCTGAGAGCCCCCACGTCTTGAGGAACCTTTTACCATCTTAAAGTGGCTGCATGTAATGCGGGTGCCGGTGCCGTGTTATTACAGCAAGATGCCTCTGGTATGGAGCTCCCAGTCAGTTACTTCTCACGCAAGTTTAACTCCTACCACTTGAACTACTCGATTGTAGAGAAGGAGGCACTGGCATTGATCTGGGCATTGCGGCACTTCGAAGTGTATATAGGGAGTGGTTATAGGCCAATAGTGATATACACAGATCACAATCCCCTGACCTTTCTACAGTCTTTGCAGAACCCAAACCAGCGGTTAATGAGATGGTCCCTATTTATACAGCCTTTCCATTTGGACATCCGACATCTCAAAGGTTCCGAAAATGTGATGGCTGATGCTTTGTCAAGAGCAGTACCTTAAGGTGGTTTTGTTCCTGTTTTCACATCTTTTTTCCAGCGTTTTCCTGCTCTTTAATTGCTTCCAGGGTGCCGGGTTGCTGAGTTGGTGAATGTGGAAAGTAGGCAGTGGTAAACTAGGGTAACATTTACACCCGGGTAAGCTTTGTTTCATGTATTAGCTGTAAGTATAAGCTCTGTTATTGGTTTGGATGTTTCAGTGTCTTGGGGACACTTCTTTTATGGGGGGGGGGGGTGTGACAAGCAGAGCCAGCTTGTAACAGTCAATATAGTAAATGATCAAACCTGTTTTCCTGATCAATTCTGAACGTGTGTAGACTAATTTTACGGTTTTTATATCATGCACGGAAACAGCTTAATATGCATTTCAAGAATCAAGAGCAGATAGGGCCGTAAGGCAATTTTAGGGATAAGAATACAAATTGTTATACAGATTTTAAAGATCAAAACTATTTTGTGGAAGGAAAATGGCACTGTGATGACATGCTGTATCTGTTAGAAAAATGTATGACCCACTGTGAGATATATTATAATTTTGTTTAATTTTTAATAAAAATCATCAACAGTATACATTAACAATGAAAAAATGGTATTGGCTACTGTAGCAAGACAAACCAACACTCTAAATCAACAGCAGATTTTGTGGATTTATGGTAGCATGTTGAATTGTAAATCTTGCATATCTAGATGTAAGAATTCATATCTACTACCAGGGATTGTGATGGAGAAATTACTTATTTAGCCTCATGAATACATCTACAATCTTCCCTGAAGTGATTGTACAGTATATGATGAGGATTGTGGTTGAGCGAGATCGACGCCTGAAATGCTAATTGTTCTCACTCTTTCATCTCCTAAAGCATCCAATGGAAATATGGCAGCTTCTTCATAGTCACCATGATTTATTAGTTGAACTTCAACTGCATGATAAGTCCTACCCCGTCTTTCAATATGTTGAAGCAGAGAGTCACATTTGAAATGCATCTTATCTGTAGCTAAAACTTAAAAAAAAAAAAAAAATAACAGAGGCTAAGAGTCTGATGTGTGAGAGCGGAGCAAAGTGCACGGATCTATCCACAATCTCATCGTGATTACTGAGCACTGCCATGCATCAGCAAGGCCTTTAATAACTTGTCATGTTACAGAGAAAATGTGTGCAGCAGAATGAATTTGGTGCCTATGTCTCCTGGGGAAAATGAAGAGCTGGATGTATACATTGACAGAGCCGATTTTGAACCTATCAAGACATCCTATAAGCAGGCTTTAAGAGATTGTTTGTTAGTGCTGGTCTGTCACTTAATGGCGGTCACAGTCCGGTAAACACGGACACGAGTGGAATACACAGCCCTTAGATTGATACGGAACGGAACGTTTTGTCCTGCACCTGCACAAGGGAAAATGAGACAAAGTCTGAATAGTTAATCAAACCAAACAAAAAAAGTGCAAGTGTTTATTAAGGAAATAACAGGTCTGTTGACTAGGATATAGAACTCACAGATTTAACATAATGTAGTGTGTTTTTGACACAAATTCTCCGATCCTTTACCAAAATCCCAAGAACATGTAGAATACTGCGTATTACCGCACATTTAAAGGAATGCTCCACTCATTAGATAATTAATCAAAACTTCAGTATTTAGTGAAACATTATGTTTAAATCATACCCTGAAGAAATCAGCGATATTCCCCGGTAAATAATGATTTTATAGCTCTTTTTTATCAAAACCTGTATATTCCGTCAGGCCGCTGCCATTTTGGCCATTTTCAGTAGTCACGTGATGGTCGTGACGTCATCCATGCGTTCACTTTGTAAACACACGAAAACATGGCGGAGTATTTGAGTTCGGACTCGTCAGCCGAGGAAGAAGTTTTGAGCAATATGAAGAGATTGGATGGGGGAATTCAGCCATACAGGTTCGAGCCAAGTAGTCAGAACCGTCAGGAATCCAGGGACAGTGCCAATGAGGATGAACAGCACGGTGATCTTGCTGGAGACGATCCCTTTACTCGTGCAATACTGACATTCCTGTCTGCTAATGTATTGTCAGGGCCCCAGCAAACATTTTAGAACATTTACTGATTTAAGCTAGAGAATTAAAGCAGTCTGGACAGTCTGAGAAACGTCGCCGGACAATTACAAACACTAGATAATTCCAAAAGATCCCTATCTACAAAACTTCAAATTCAAATATGTTATTAATTAAAAGGCCAACTACAGGCAAACAATACAATTGTGTATATCATGTACTGCCCAAATAATATAAAATAAAGTTTTCTAAAAAGGCAAACAATACAACTCCAATGTAGGCCTACTTAGTAGATACAATGATTTTGATTACTAGATATGTATGCATGTAGTACCACCCTTGCTAGCGATTCCCTCTCTAGTTTAGCATACTCAGCCTCGTTGTCCCTGGCCCTAGAACCACAAACTGGGGGAAAATACCCACTAGCCGGTACTACGCTATATGGAAAGGCCACCAAAAACTGGCCTGGCCTGGACGATAAAGGACGTTTAAACGGGGCTACCCGCTGCAATGGAAATGCGCTATAACATACCTTATTCTTACTCCGAGCACTACTTCTGGTCCTCCGTCGCTTCACACTTGCAGAGGGCGATTTCTCAACTGGCCGAACTGGTGTCCTGGTCGGTGATGACACCAGAAAGACCGATGGTACTGCATCTCCATTAAGTAATGGTTGTTCAATAAATCCCATGTTATGTTTCATCATACTCTCAGAGTAGTCGTCCGGAAACTTGAAATGTTCGCTGCATACATGCGCCTGTGGATCTTTCGGTTCGGGCCGGCCACATTTCGCTAGCCACTGCCTCCGAACGTACTTCCCACGCTTACCTTTTGGCAACAGATGGAACCGAGCATTCCGTGGATTGTTCCTATCAGAATTGTGGCAATGTTTCGCGATACAATGAGGCATATTTGAAGAGAGTAACTACAGTAAATAACATGAACATCAACGTGTCCTCGAAACCAAACGCATGGTTTACGTCACGTCCGGTAAAATGGCGCCGCCTAGTGTTGTTATTTCGGTAATTAATCAGTTTAAAATCACTGATAATGTCATCGGATTAAAAAAAAAAAAAAAAGACTGGCAGAGACTGGTCTGTTTTATCGGATGATAATTATTTAAAAATGAGTGTCATGAGCATACCATTCCTTTAATTATCCATACAATACATTTACATTGTGATCTGTTAGCTTGTGCCCTATCATAGTCTGTATTGTTTTTCAGTCTTTTGAGGTCAGTAAGAGGTTATTTTATCATTGTGTCACAGTGCCTTTTGTTTTGACACAGGAGGGCAGGAGCCAGGATGTGTTTTTCTGTGTGAATAAATTAAATACATCTCCTACTGACAAGTATGCGTTTTCTCCCTGTAGAATCACTTAACCCCCTCAATGTGACTCTGCATTAAATCAATCCCAGTAGTATAATGAGTAGGGGACAGCGACTACAACACCGGGAGAGGAAGGGGGGGGTCCAATGTTTTGCTTACTGGCACCTCAGCAGTGCCCACAAGTTAGAACCTTTATATATACAGTCTATGGTTAGAACTAGCATCTCACCAGGTAGGCTACCAGTTTACGTAAACTTGGTCTGTTTGGGGATTTGAACCCGCGTCCCTCTGGTCAACTGTAGAGTTTCCAAATGTACCAAGAATTGAGAATTCAAATAAAGAATTAAATACTTTATTTTAAAACAGGTCCATTATTTTGAAAATGAACTGTGAAGAATTTAAACTAGCATTTGAGACCTTAAACGCATCAGAAAAATGTTGACCGACTTAATACATCAAGTGAGAACTGGGGTTATTTATTTCATAGATTTCCATACAATTAGTCTATGTCAAAGCTATGTCAAGCAATTATAAAGTAGCACAAACAGATTAAAATCCAAGGAGGTGAAGCTACCCTTTCATATAAGAGCGCTGATACGCTGTCAATATATATTTTCATATAAACAATAAAAAAAGCCCTCCGAACCTTTTTTTATGAAAACGCTCTGCCCTAGGCACTTTGTGGACACAGGCCCTAAGTTGTGCTGCACCATATCATAGGTGTTATGTGTAAAATGGGAATGTATCATTCTTACCCCATCCGATGAGGATGAAGCCCCAGAGGTATTTGGAGTCTGATCGGAAGGCCATGAAGATGAGACTGTGGAGGTAGAGGCCTTCTACCAGCATCCAGTAGTAGTTGGTGGCCAGGAAATAGATGAAGAGCACTACAACGAACTTGCAGCCAATCTGTTAACAAAACATTAACACAGTTATTGAATCCTATTTATACATGACCATTAGTGTGCCTGTGTGTTGACTTCTGAAAGATATCCCTGATCCACAGGCGCTGTAGGAGAGATGATCTGATTACATTTTGTAGCACCTTGCTGTATACATTTGCACATCAATTAGGAAAAGTACACAGTTGTGATACAGAAAATACAAAGTTCAAGTTAAGTGTTGACATACACTACACCATTAACAAACAGACAACATTGGTTTGTATCACTTGTCATTTAAAATCATGATGTATAGAGATCATTTTATTTGCATATCCTCTTAAATAGCGGCTGTTATTCAAACTATCCTTTACAATATGAGGAATTCACACAAATCCTACATTTCATTGATTTGATTTTGATATACTTTATTAATCTCCGTGGGGAAATTGTTTCTCTGCATTTGACCCATCCTGTGTTAGGAGCAGTGTGCTGCCATTTTGAACGGCGCCCGGGAGCAGTGTGGGGTTAGGCTGATAGTGCCCAAGACCAGGCTCAAAACCCGAGGGCACCGAGCCTTCACAGCAGCTGGCCCTAGGCTCTGGAACACTCTGCCCCTGCCTTGCTCAGGGACACCTCGGTAGCACTTGGTCTTGCCGGGACTTGAACTGGTGACCTTCCAGTTGCCAAGCCAAGTCTCTATCGACTTCGCCACTACCGCCCCCATGATCTACTGTATAGTTTTATTTTATCACATAATTTTAAATATATATTGTATAACACATTGAGCATATTCCCACACTCCTTTCAAAGCTTTAACTAGTTTTCAGTGCAATTTTTGTACAGATTTTCAAGGGCAGGGATTAAACTACATGGTTGGGTGCAAATCAAAATAATTGCTGTCGCATTCAGATTTGCAAACTTACTGGTAATTATGTATGACTCATATCCACCTGAATCAAACAAGCGATCCTGAACTTTGATGCCAATTAGAGATCGCTGGAGTTCTCTCTCAAAAGGGAACTTGCGTTCACCATGAATCTGAATTGGAATGCTATTCTTAGAGTATGTTGAGAATTTACCGCCAGAACTATGTCTCGGAGGTGTTTGGTCAGAAGAAAATGTTGCGTTCTATGAATTTGAATAATGAAGGTCTTTTTGCTAAATAGCAGCAAAGGTTTCCTTTGTACTATTCTTCTGCAAATATCAGAGTCCAAGTTGGTAGATACGCAGGAAACTGTTATATCTTTACTGTATGTGTGCAAGTGGATCATTATTTGGTTGCAATTTGGGGTTTTTCCCTTTCCTATATTGTGTTAAATACTATGTTTTAGTAAATGTCTGCAAAGGCTAAAATCCCAAAGTTCCCTCCAGAGGGAGTTTCTCTCCAAGACACTCCCCCCCCCCCCCTGCCTGAAACGCCTCCATTGGACTACCTTGTTTAATTCTGCTACTTAGTGACATCACTCCGACCTCCAGCCTCTCTGGTTGATATTCTGGGCTCCCTCAATAAAAACATCCTCTCCACTGTTATGAACCTTGGAGTGACCTTCAATAGCGCTTTTAAATTTGATAAGCAGGTTAGCACTGTAGTCAAGACCTGCTTTTTCAAAATACGACTATTGGCTAAGACCAAGTCGATTTTATCTTTTAAAGACCTAGAAAGGGTTATTAACGCCTTTGTTACCTCGAGACTGGATTACTGCAACGCTCTGTATGTGGGTATGGACCAGGCCTCAATTATGGCGCGTTTCCACTGCAGCGGGTAGCCCCGTTTAAGCGTCCTTAACCGTCCTCAAGCGGCCAGGCCGGTTTTTGGTGGCGTTTCCATATAGCCTAGTACCGGCCAGCGGGTACTTTTTCCCTCTTTTTCCGACCTCATAAAATCGTGGTTCCCTCAGACCAGGGCCAGGGCTGAACTAGTGACGTCAACACTCTCGACTGCTGATTGTTCAGAGAGAATCGTCACAAGATTGCGCGCGAGTTCATCCCTAGCGTCGCATATATATCTAGAAGCAAGCTTGCAGCATTTTTATACACAGCATTTTGTAAACGGAGGAGCTACAAAAATGGCTACTTCTAAGAAAAGCACACCGTGGTCGACCGAGGAGGTGACGACGTTCCTTCATCTCATTGGGGATGATAAAATCTCCAGCTCGACGGAACAACGAGAAATGTAAAAGTGTTCCAGGATGTCTCTGCACAGATGTCCGAACGCGGATTTTCGAGGACTTTCCTGCAGTGTAGGGAAAAACTGAAAAAGATGAAGAGCGAATATTGGACAATAACAACACGAGTGGTGCGGGTCGCAAACAATGGAAGTGGTTCGATTTGTTGGACCAGATCTACGGCCAAAGACCGGCCCCGCCTACACTGCGTTGCTAGCCCAGGTCCTAAACTGTAATGGAAATGCGCCACGGCCTGGGCCGGCCAGCGAGGCAGCCCGAGGCCAGAGCGAGGACGCTTAGGGACGCTTAAACGGGGCTACCCCGCTGCAGTGGAAACGCGCCATTAGACGCCTGCAGCTAGTGCAGAACGCAGCTGCACATCTTCTAACTGGCCATAAAAAGCGTGACCACATCACCCCAATTCTGGCCTCACTACACTGGCTTCCAATTCGGTTCCGAACTGATTTTAAAATCCTTTTATTTGTTTTTAAAGCACTAAATGGGCTGGCTCATGCCTATGTAGCCGAACTCCTCCAGCGCTACACCCCAGCCAGAGCTTTAAGATCTGCTGACCAGCTGCTGCTGATAGTGCCCAAGACCAGGCTCAAAACCCGAGGGCACCGAGCCTTCGCAGCAGCTGGCCCTAGGCTCTGGAACACTCTGCCCCTCCATGTGAGGTCGGCCCAGACCCTAGGGGTTTTTTAATCAACACTTAAAACTCACTTCTTCTCTCTGGCCTTCTAGCCTTTTCTTATCAAGCTCCACTTTTGTGGAATCAGCTTCCAGTTTGTGTTCGGGCGGCCGACAGCTTATCCGTTTTAAGAGTACGCTTAAGACCTTCCTTTTAATAAAGTTTATAGTTGATAAAATAACCTAATGAGAGTGCTTTGACGCAGATACGCTGTGCCTCTTCACCTACATTTTGGTTCTTGCTCTTTCACTTAAATCCTAAAAACTTGGATCTTATATTTAAAACTAAGGTTATTACTACTCTTTCTATTTTCTCTTTATCCAAAACCTTTTCCCTCCATGACCTCACAAGGTTTTATTGGAGGGAAACCAGTTTGCAGAGGTGTCCTTATCCAAGGCCGCGGAGTGTTATGCCGTAGTCACAGCGTACCTCCTTATCCCTCACCAATTCCAACTAAGCGGGGACCTTGCTCCCTGCGTGTGCCTGTCTGTGTCTGTATATTTGCATGTTCCGATTAACCGAGCCTCCCCCACATTTTATTTTTATTTTGTGTCTATATCTACGCCGGGATCCGGAGTTGAGGCTGATCCTCTTGCTGTGGTCCTGTGTCCTGGATCCTCTATCCCGAGTTCTGGATTAAGTCGTGGACTTCGGGTCGTGGCTGGGCCTGTCTCTGTGGTCCTGCCTGAGTCTCGTCATGCTGCTTCCCTGATGGCTCTCACAGGATTGTTGATATCCTCGTGGATTCATCTTCTTATTATAGACACATGCATTTCCAAACATTCGGTCTACCTACGCTGTAAAATGTATTATCTTTTCAATTTACACACGGCATCTATTGCACGTCTGTCCGTCCTGGGAGAGGAATCCCTCCTCTGTTGCTCTCCCCAAGGTTTCTCCCATTTTTCCCTTTAAACTGTGGGGGGGGGTTTTTCTCCAAAAGTTTTTCCTTGTACGATGTGAGGGTCTAAAGTCAGAGGGTGTTGTTTTCTCATACTGATATTCTGCACAAACTGTGCTGTTGTATTTACTGTATAGTGTCCTTACTGTAAGGTAATTATTATATGTACAGCACTTTGGCTCAACCAAAAATCGTTTTAAAAATGTGCTATATAAATAAAACTTGATTTGATTTGATAGGCTAAGTGGCGGAACAATCACAGCAGAGCCAGCCAGCTAATCAATCAGAACAGACTGGGCTCTGGTTTCAGACAGAGGGTGAAAAGAGGTTCTGCAGCACAGGCAGTATGAGAGAAATAAAGAGCTTTTTGAACATTAAAGCGTATAAACATGTCACAGAAGAGGCACAACATAGAAATCAGTGACGAGCCGTGACTTATAGGCCCTCTGACCCCCCCTTCCCTCGAAAAGAAGAAGAGTTATTACGTCACAGCGTATACTTCAGCAGAATATCAAAACAGTGGCCCGGGGTGCAAAACGCATCAATGACAGCGACCCTCTACCACACAAAACAACACCATTTATATAAACACCTATCATGACAGGTCACCCACAGCCAAGTAACAATTACAAATTAATTAAGTCGGCACGGCGGCCCACATTGAAAATGACTTTGATGATCAAATCACTTAAACACAAAGTCCATCCTCCTGTCATTTTGGATGAAGCACTTGATGGCGGGGTCATGCAGCTGATCCTTTGCCACTCCAGTTTATCATTGTAACTCAATCTTGAAAATGACTCGGTTAATAATTTTGCAAACTATATCATCACTATCACTAAAGTGAGCCATCATGAACGAACTTATGCTAATCATAAATCTATCGATCATAAATCTATCGATTATAGTGCCAGGAAAAGGGAGTCGGAGGCAGTGTATTAGGAACAGAGTTCCAATCTTTATTAGCCATTAATAACAGAGAGGTTATCACATGAACTGCTCTGCTTGATGAGCTAGCAGGAATGGAAGCTAACGCTACAGGTGTTCCCACTAAAGGGTCCGTGTGGCAACACAATATGAGAGGTGAATTATGTCCAATAACGTGTCACCACACAAGCCCCCCCAGAATTCACGTGTAAACAAAATCCGTATGGCGGGGAGGAACAATCCGCCTGCCCCCACGAGACCTGCGCACCGGAGTCGGTACAGCGACCTCCGCCCGTGCGGCCCCTGACAGAGGAGGGACCGGAACAACAGGTCCACACTCC